GCAACTTCTACAGCTGCATCATTGAGAGCATCTTGACCAGCTGCATCACTGTCTGGTATGGCAGCACTACTGCTATGGACCGCAAGCGCCTACAGAGAGTGGTAAAGACTGTGGAGAAGATCACCAGGACTCCACTGCCCTCTCTGCAGAGCATTTACCACCGCAGGGTGCATAGGAAAGCTGCCTCCATCCTCAAAGATCCCACCCACCCCCAGCACGGACTGTTCATCTCTCTGCCCTCTGGCCAGAGGTTCAGAAGTGTGAAATGCAGGACCTCTAGACTGAAAAACTCTTTCTTTCTGCCTGCCATCAGACTCCTAAACAGCTGACTCAGGATCTACCTCATGTAATTCCATCTGTACTGTTTACATACTCAGTTTGCACATGCACAATATTTACACTTCACAGCTCCCATGTAGCATATATTCTCTCTGCATTATATCGTGTTCTTGTTGTATTTTTATTTGCTCCCTTCACTTGCTGCTTTAAAGTGCCTTAGATTTGTGATTTTACTGCCTAATCTACTTTATATTTCATTTGTATTTTGTGGCATTCATGTGGACGGCAAAGTAAGAATTTCATTGTACAGGGAAACATGTTTCCTAACTGTGAATATGACAAATAAACACTTTGACCGTCTCTCTCTCTCACCTCCTCCCTGTCCTCTCTTCTCACTCTGTGCTGGACCATCAGCAGTCTAGAGACCCCTCTCTGTCCCCTGGTTGTCAGGACCTCATTCCAGATGTTTTGGATCTGGATTTCCGTGCTCCAGAGGAATCCATGTAACATTTGTTCATTCATTTTTAAAACCAGAAATCAAAGGACAAATCATTTTTTTCAGTATTTGCATCCAAAACCAAACCAAACAAAACAAATAAACAAACAGATAACAGCTCATTTTCCAATTTCCAATTTTGTGCTGCAATCAAAAATGGAAAAAACATAACAAGCACTCACATTCAATTTTGTGTTTCATCTAAGATGTTGCTGACATTTCTGAGCATCTCAGGAAAAACGAGGCGGAAATCTCGGCATAAGTCTTTGGTCTGTGTACAAAGTATAATTCATTTCTGATTGTTACAAACTTTGGAGACCAAACTATTAGAAAAGGAAGCAGAAAAAGAGTAACCGGTCCCTGGGAAGTCATGTTAGGTAAGTTCAACTTTTATGGATGTGTGTAGTCTGGTCTTGTTGTATGCATGACTTTATGGGGTTGGTTTGTCCATCCACACAACGTTGAAACAGCTCGTCTGTCCAACAGTGGAACTAACTGAGAGCTAAGTGACTGTTGTAGGCTGTAAGTCACATTTCCTCTCTCCCCTCCCTGTGTTTGTTCCTCTCTCCTACAGGGTACAGTATGTGTGGTGTACTTGGGGCCAGTCTCATTTCAGTGCCTCATGTTGAAGCATGTTTGGCAACATGTGGATGTTGCTTGTCCTCCTGATAGATGCTCTTCAGTTATGTTGAAAAATTTGTCATTCTGACTGTCCATACTGTAAATGTACTGTGTTCTCTCTTCTGTACCCACCTACTGTATGCCTGGGGGTGGGGTGGGGGGGTGGCGCTACACAAGTTTTATATCAATACAATGGGACTTGACTATTTTGCACACTATTTACATTTGTGCCTCTTTTATCCAGCACATGATTTCCCCCAAAAGGGGCTTTCATATAGGACGCAGTGGGTGCTGTGCTCCGGTATCAAACCCATTCATTTCTATGTTGCGTGGCGCAAGAACGTATCTGCGCTGCGCCGAGCGCCTGCATTGAGGTTTAAAACCGAAGGTAGTGCTCTGTGAGGACACCTCGACGTGTTGATTGCGGAGAACCACACAGACCACAAAGAAAATGGAGGAGAAGCTGACTTTGGCGGACCCACACCCTCTTCTTCTTTGCTGCAGCTCGTGTCCTCCTCGTCATCAATAAAACTAAAGCCAGAGCTTTTCGCTGACGTGTAGAGACAGATCATGTCTCCACGTCTGCTTCTCGAAAAACTAGTTCATATCTGCTAAACACCTCCCGGAAAGCTTTGTTGTCCTCTAGCAACTGCTGTCCAACATGTGCGCGATTTGCGCATGTGCGCCCTCCTCCCCTGTACCGCGCCCAACCCTCGCGGCGTGCGCAAGCGCATACCGCGTCCTGTCGGGAACTCCTTTAAATACTGAATTCCGATGAATGTGTGCAAAGTCACTGTCCAGTGAAAAGCATGTAACTCCAGATTTGGAGGATGAACAGGATGAACTGTTCCCGGACACTGGAACGATTCTCCTTCTGTTTCGGCTAAATGAAATGTTCACACAGGCAATGTGAAAACTGGATGATCACAAAGCTGAAAATGATGGAGTCCACGCACGAGTGCCACTACATGTTGCTTACTGTCTAAATTTGTTAATACTTTGTCTTTCATCTGCCTTGTGACAATCCAATCAAGATTAATAGAACAAAAACTACCACACAAAGGATGTTAATACACAAACATTTTATTGGTGACAAACAGTGAATACCTGGCAATGAAAAGAAAAACATCTATTACTGTGTTGAAAACTGCAAGAGAACAGCAGGTAATGCAAAGAGAAAAACAAACCAACCTTTATATCATCAATAAAAGAACAACGTGTACACTGTGTTGCGCTCCAGAGTGGCTGAGATGATCCTAGCTCAGTCATTTTAGCTGTAACATTTATTGAACATTTGTATATTCTAGATAATGATAAGCAGATACTTGTACATTATGCAAGCTGGCTAGACTGCTACTTCAAATCACATCCACTGAACTATTTGACCTCAGACTGATCGACCAGAAATTCAACGTCGTCTCAGCTTCGCGCGCCGAGAGCAGAAAGCTACTGTAAAGTCAGCTACACGTCTTCCTACAGTTTTATCATTGCTTTAAGTATAAAGCTGCTACATACAGGAACAGTATCTTCATCAAACAATAATCACAGTTGCACCAAATGCACTGTAATTACCTAGACAAGGAAACAACAGAAACATGGTGTTATTAAATCCTTCCAGTTGATATCCGTCCTTTGTGAGTACAGAGATGTCTCAAAGGCATAAAAGATTATTAAGGTCAGTTACCAGTTAAGCACTGGATGTGAAGTGCTGCCCTGCTACAGTGGTTATGAGCATTAACATCAGCTCAGAAAGCAGCAGCCCAGCCCGTCTCCAGCTCTGGGACGAAGCTGAGGACAGTTTCTTCCAGAAAACAAAACACTATATCATCATCATCATCATCACTGATTTTGTGTATTAGTAACAGCAGTCAACTTGTTGTTCAGTCATTCCTGTGACACATGCGAAACGTGCATTGCAGAGTGCTGAAGACAGCAGAGAGCACTGAAGCCTGTGTGACGTTGTACAGCGACACTGAAAAGCAAGCCTTGATTCAAAAGCGGCTTTGAGAGTGGTCAGAATTAAGATCTTCCAAAGCACAAAGTACTAGCACAGAGCGTCTCAAATATCTATGAGGTACCAATACCAATACCTCCATGATTACTTTGTCTCTTTCTCAAGCCAAACGAAGGTTGACTGTTCTTCATGTCGCCTCTTTACAGTATACTTCATGTCTAGTTCTGCATTTTTTAGCTTGAGTCAAGTGTAAACACCACATGTCCTGGAGTTGTGTTAGGATATGGTGAGGTAAACAAACCTACTGAATGGGCTGATCACTATCCAACTGGAGGAAGTGCAGCCTCTTGTGCAAGCCAGTGCACTGAAGCAGCTGTAAAGGCTCAGTCCCACCAGCATTTACTACAGCAACATTTTTAAACAAAATCTCTCTGAAAGAACAAAACCCAGCCTAGTCCAAACTGAAGGAAGCTGTCACACCTTCCAGTTTTCTATAATCCTGCTCTACCCAACCAGAAACAACATGAACAGAGAATTTTGCACTGGGTGAAACTTGCCACGATCAAAGGCACCTACTGCGTGACGTACAGTAGTCACGACACCGCCAGGCCTGAATGAGGACAAAGACATTTCAGCAGAACTAACTCCCAGTAATGCCCCTTTAACTCAATCTAGGAAGATTATTTCACAAGAATGTTGATCATGTTGTACATTTATCTGTGGCACTGGCCTTCAGTGAATTCACAGTCAGTGTGAAGCTCAGGGATTAGGTCTGAAGCCACACTTCTATATAAAGCTATGTATATCATCAGGAGGGTGCAGGAAACCAGCGTGTGTTCTGTTGGGGTGACTGAATCTTGACATCACATTGTATTCACACTAGGCACTCTTTTGATTAAACTTCTAAAACGTTAACCTTTTACAGTCATCTGGAAATGTGGCTTTTTACTCTACTTGATTATCACTGACCTCCAGTTTTTAACACAAAAACAATAATTTCTGCTAAATTCAATGGCTCTTCTTAGCAGTAGGGTGGAAGCATACATAGTTTTCTAAAGGTAACACATCATTTTGAACTACCTACAGAACGTACTGCAGGTTGGATGGAAGAGGGGCCTGGACACACTGAGATGCTGCTACCACAAACAGCCTCACAGCAGACTTGTCCACTGAAAGGACAGAGGTATTCACGTTTATTTTGTGATTGCAAAAATGAACAAAAAAGGGTAGCAGGAGACACATCCAGCCTCCGACTTTGAATGAACAAGGCGATCAAATCTGTCTTGGCCTCTCATGCTATGGCTGATGAGGAAAACAGGCGGAGATGTGAAAGCATGCATTCAGTGCACACAGACAGGCCAACTGACAGAGACACACACGCACACACATATTCTTGGCTCTAAAGCTGCTAAAACAATGCTAAAAATCTGTACAATATTTAGTTATTGTATTTACAGAAATAAACATCAGTCTCGACTGGCCTGCACCTCGGTGCAGAGTCACCCCTGCCGTCAACATATTCAAGCGGGCGAGTGGCATTTCGCCCACATCTAAAGCTCAAACAAAGAAAGGCAACAATTAAGCACATTTGATTCTGAACTTGCTTTTCAGATTGCACTCGCAGCACTTCTCACATTTTTAGATTTAGATTTAATTGTGGAAAATTTCTAGTAATCGTGTACTGGTGGTTCTACATGACTTAGTCAATTTATTAAAACTATACTAAACATTATTGTCAGCAATTCTCCAAACTGTGGTGTTTTAGACTGGTTTCAGTTTTCAAAAGTTAGGATGCTAGCACCTCATATGCTCCAGTACTGTGGAGTACTGTACAATGCTCTGTCATTTTGTACCAATATGTGATGTACTGTAGTAAAGATGTGTCACACACCTGGTGCTAAACCAGTAAAAAGGCTAGGTTTTTAAGGTGGGTTCTCCTACCATGCACAGTGTTTGTTGCCCCGAGTGCAACAAGGGAGTATGTACAAACTGTCGAACATGCGAAATGTAAATCTCCTGTCTTCCTCTAAAGCTGTTCCATTTTAAACAGCCATAAAGGGGCTAGTCGGGCTGAGTGGGAATTGTTATCAACAAGCTAAAAACAAAAACTATCTGTACATGACTGTGAAATATAAAAACAATGTTACACAAGTGCAGTTTCCTTCAGCTCCATGGAGGGGTTTAGCACATTGTTTTGGTTTTACGGCCCACATTCTTATGGTTTGGCGCACTCTCAAACTACTCATCGCCCAGAGCAGCTGGTCCCAGTGAAAAGACTGATAAACCCCAGAATACCTGCTCCACGCCAAACAGCAGACATAGCTAGGCACTCTCTCCTGAACATAACGAAGCATTTAGCAGCCTACGAGTTAGAGATCATACCCGAGTGAATATGGGTGCTCAACACAACTTTAAAACAATGCCAACGCTGTCTCCTGTGAATGACGAGTTGTTTGCTAATGTGTTAATCATATCAGTTTTAAGAGGTGATATTATGCATCTGTTGTGTACAGATATGTGCTGTTTAAAGCTTGTTTTACTTCCCCCACAGGTGGCCCCAATTCAGCTCCTGGTCCCATCTTCACCCATCGCTGATATGTTTTACACAGCCACAGAAGGCTCGCACTCTTGTCGACGTTTGCACCAAGTCCAACTAGCCCCCCTCTTGCCTCTACTAGCGATGCCTGTCAGGTTTTCATTATGTACCCTATTGCAAACAGCAACACTCACAATGGTGAAGAATCCTTTCAAAAAATTCCTGGATCCAGATGATGATACAGATCAGCACCAGAATGTAACGGACTGTTCGGTGGGGTATAAAATGCATTACTTTGAGTTATGTTGTTACCAAACCAACAAACAAATGCTAGTAAAGACACTGCCCCTAGCCTTGGTGGAGCTAATAAAATGGTATGCTGTGGAACATGGATGGCAGTAGGGTAACATGTTACTAGTTTACAGTTTAAAGGGCGGAATCATGCAAAACCACGCTGTGACTCTCAGCACAGCAGTGAAGGGGAATATCGAGCTGGAAGCTTTGAAGAACATGAGCAGACCTTCCATCAAATCCTCAAGGCATGTTATTATGACCTTTTTATACTGTCACCACACAAAATGTTTTGTAGTGCACATATACCACATGAAGCAACCAAACAGCCAAATCAGCATCATTAGCGATACACAATGATCTGTCGATCAGTAAAGAAAGTGAGACATATAAAGATGTTTTCTGTCTGCATATTCACCTTGGTTATGTAGGAATATTATCTTATATAGCTTGTTTTTTTCTTGCTTCAAGAGCCTTTCCTCTGTAATACATTATGGCTGAATAGTGCTCAAGCATCAACACTGAGAAGGCCTGTATCTGTGCTGTCAACGAGCTCTCATCTAACAAACTACAGGGATGGATTGAAGTGATGAACTGAAAACATACTGAAGTCACCTGAGGGGGTTTTCCATTAGAGGAACCTGCCAAAAGCTAGCGCTCGTAACAGGTTCTGCATTTGTTTCCACTGTGCTCTGCCTCAGCCTGCATTCTGGGAACAAAATTTCAGGGGGGGGGGGCATGCATGCAGAGCAGTCACCTGTGATTGGTTACATCTGTGTTGTGTCACCTCAAGCGTCATCAGTACAGGTGAGTAGAGGAAAAACAAGGACCCAGAGGTTACGTTAACAAAATATTTTCCGTCATTGATGGAATTTTTTTAATAACGATGGAAAAATCTGATTCTGTCGTTCTGATCTACACTAACTGAGAGTTAGGCTATTAAAAAGCCCAATAACTGCTATGGCAGCCTCAAAACTTTGAAGTGGAGCTGGCAGTCCAGTCTCCAGTGTGTGATCCTTCAAGTTGTGTGTTCACGCTCTGCTAAGCTGAATGCATGTGTGTGGTGCAGAGCCCCTCCCTCCTCTAAACAGAGAAAACACAGTGGAGAAACAAAGCAGGATGGCCCGCGACAAACCAGAAGGTTATGCAGGGCGAATTACAGAGTATACTGCTCATTAGGTTCCAATAGTGGAAAGGCAGCTCTGAGAGGTCTTCATGGGTCGCTTAGGTTTGAGGAACCGAGACTCGTCAAAGGGATCAAGTCCAAACTGTGCTCAGTCTAATGGGGTCCACTATTACCACTGTGGGTCTCGGGACAGCGTGTGAATGTGTCCAATACTCGAGTGGATCCCGACAGCCCTGAGAAAATACTGATAAGTATATTTGGAGGTGATACATAGAATGACAACTGTTAACGAGGGAATGGGAGTCGAGCTCATTTTAAGATTTAAAGGGCTTTTTTTGGGAATTAGAATTAGATTTGTTTTGGGCCAGTTCCAAAATTCTGGAGCCATGAAGACCTCTAATAACCTCTCATAACATGAATTCTAAAGTGTAAAACTTTGTTTCAAGCTTTCAACCCTCGATGTTTAAACCAAGAGTGTATGCACTTTGAGATTCATTATCGTTAACCACTTCTCAGTAACTGACCCCAGCTTTGTGTGTGTGTGTGTGTGTGTGTGTGTGTGTGTGTGTGTGTGTGAAAGCCAACCAATTCAATAATTCTGCAACATTAGCTCTCTCATGGCCTACTTAATGGCTCAGGAAGTCAATGCTAGCTTTCACAGTGCGTCCGGTGGACACATCCACCGCCATAGCACGAATCTCAGTGTCACCAAACTGCATGAGCGTCTGGATCTCGCGGCGCAGTGCTGTGCTTTCCGTTCCGCTCACATCCAAGCGAAGTGTGCCACACTTCTTGACGCCAGGCTCGCTGATGAAGCTCACATTCTCCCTCTCGGAGCAATACACGTGGATGACAATAACCTGCTGGGAAGGCTTGGCTGGGGTGTAGCTCCGTTTCACCATCTCACCCAGTGCCACAGACTGGTCGGCTGCGATGAATGTGTCGAAAACATCAGTGCACCAGCGAGTGCCATCCTTCACCAGCAGCTTCTCAGGCGGGTGTTTGCCCTCCACAAAGCGGTTAAGGACACCTACGCCGTATGTGAGGGGTGAGCGGCGGACTTTAATGACACTGGGGTCCAGCCCAAACAGCACAGCACCTTTCAGGATGGTGAGGCCAACGTCGTGTGGTATGATGATGCGGCTGCGGCCCTGGAGCATGTTCTGGACAGCTTGCTGCAGCAGAGGTGACTCAGCAAACCCACCCACTAGGAACAGGAACTTAATGTTGCTCACCTCTGGCTTCTCAAAGAGCTCGGCTGCAGAAGAGAAACAGAATCCTTTATCCAAATACCTCAAAACTGTACTTAAGTATAGCACTTAAAATAATGTAACTAGTTCCTTTGCATCTCTGCTGGTCTCCAGCAGTGGGTAAAGTTTCTCTTTAAAGCATAATAATTCCATTTTATGACAACTTATCAGAAAATGTGGTTTAACTGTACAGCAATGCAAGTAACAAGATGAGTAGACAGCCAGTAAACAAGCTATTTTAGCCAACACAGTTTAAAGTGCTTTTTTGTCAGTGAATGCACCTAAAATGCCACTAATAATCCCTCACTGCCAAGAAAAACCTCTCACAACAACTACAATTAGAATTAACACTTTGCATTTGTATGCCTCCACCAACCAGACAAAGTCGTGGGAATCAGATGGATGTGAGGTCACTGTGACCTTTGACTTCCAAAATCTAATCAGGTCATCCCTGAGTGGACATTTGTGCCAAATTTGAAAAAATTCCCTCAAGGTGTTTCTGAGATATCTGTTCCATTCACAGGAATGGGCCAGATGGATGTGAGATCACTGTGACTTTGACCTTTAACCATACAAATTTAACTAGGTCATGCTTGAGTCCAGTTGGACAGTTGTGCTCAATCTGAGCAAGCTCTCTTTAGTTATTTCTGAGTTACTGTTCACAAGAAGGCACAGGTGCCTGCACGGACAGATGGACGGGTGACCTGAAAACATCACACCTTCGGCTATGGCTATTGCCAGCGTGGAGGCATAGAAAGCACTGTGAAGTTAAAGCTGAAGAACAGTTTGGGTTTTGCCCTGCTTCCACATCTCACTGACTGACTACAAGATCATTATTACAGCTTATAACATTGGGCGAAACTAAGAAAATACAATCAAACGTCTATTAATATGTAATTTTCTTAAACTGTAACAATAATGATTCAGAATTAGGAGAGATTTAGATTTTGAGGCTTGTGTTTGATGCTAAACAGTGAAACTATGTTCAGATTTAGTTGTAATGGGGAAAACAGAAGAAAAGTGCCACTGCTGGAATTTCCTGCCCTATGTATTTTAAGGTGTTCCCATTTGGGCAGACAAAATATGGGAAGATAGAATGGAAAGTTAGAAAAATAACCTCAGCGCCTGATTTACCTGCTTCGGGGAAGGTAAAAGGAGGCAGTGTGTGTGTTTATTAACAACTTGTGGTGTGGAGATGTACGGACTGTTTATAAGCACTGTTCGCCAGACGTAAAGTTTTTATTGCTGAAATGCTGCCCCTACTATCTAGCCAGAGAGCATAATGCTGTGTTTCTGGCTGCTGTGTATGTTAGCCCAAGAGCTAATCCCTCTGCGGCTCTCAGCAAACTCTATGATGTCATCAACGCGCTAGAGACAGCTCACCCCGATGCTGTATTTATCACTGCAGGCGACTTTAACCAGTGCAATTTAAAGACTGTACTTCCCAAATATTACCAACATGCGAACATTCCCACCCGGGGCAAGAACACTCTAGATCATGTTTACAGTAACATACGTGGTGCATACAGGGCTGCACCCCGTTCCCACCTTGGATGCTCAGACCACATTTCTTTGTTCCTGTATCCAGCTTACAGACAAAGACTGAAACAAACAAACCCTGTCACCAAACAAATTAAACTCTGGACCCCAAAGACTGAAGTCACCCTGCAGGACTGTTTCACCCAGACAGACTGGGATGTGTTTAAAGCTGCAGCCACCTTGGAGGACTTTTCTGTCAGCGTACAGGGTTATGCTGAGTATGTGACCGGATACATTAGTACCTGTACTGACAACATTGTGCCCACCATACTAGTCAGGAGGTTCCCCAACCAGAAGCCCTGGATAAACAGTCAGGTACGCCACATGCTCGCTCTCATGCATTGAGATCAGGCAACGAGACAGAGTACAAAGCTGCAAAGTACAGACTGAGGAAAGCCATCACAGTGACCAAGAGGCAGTACAGAGAGAAGCTGAATGGCTTCTATTCTACTGCTGAATCCGGACAGATGTGGCAAAGCCTGCAGCACATCAGACTACAGGACCACCACCAGCATCGTAAGCTGCACAGACAGCCTGCCAGATGACCTCAACACCTTCTACACCCACTTTGAGACCTCCAGCCACAGCACAGAGAGGAGGCACACACACACCGAGACCACCCAACCCCCCACCTCCCCTCCAATAACTGTCTCACCAGGCTAGGTACGCACAGTCCTGAGGAAGATCAACCCCCGCAAAGCAGCAGGACTGGACAACATCCCTGGGATGGCTCTCAGGGCCTGTGCCAGTGAGCTGGCTGATGTTCTCACCACCATCTTCAACCTCTCCCTCAGCCAGAGCATCGTTCCCACCTGCTTTAAAACCAC